CTTTGCCTGTGTGTAGCAGTTATCGTGGGCTTGGCAGCACCTGGGAAACAAGGAGAAAAAGGCTAGAAAATACCAGAATCACAGGCTCAACTGACCTGTAAGACACACAAATACGTTAGATTTGCTTTGACAAGGCTCTTGACAATAAAAAAAAAGATACCCAGTAATAAGAGGGCTGACACAAAGGACCTCAGAGAGATAGAGTTGTGCCAGCTCATGGTCCAGTACTGGTAAATAAGTACTTATGGCAGCATCTTCACAGGTGTCCATTGGGCACAGGGAAAGCCAAAGCCAGTGTTTACCCTACACTTCCCCTCAGTGCCTGGTAGCTGACAAGCTCTCAGCCAACACAATGCAAGACTTGGCTGCCAGATTTGTGTGTCTCTAAATTGCCCATGCCATTTCCTAGCATTTTGCAGCCCAGCCTGCACATGTTGATGGTCAAGCACCAGGCAGAGTGTGCAGAGCTGTGTCCAGGCTCTGGCCCAGCACTGCTGCTGCTGCAAAACAAAAGCTGGAATGAGCACACTTTGTTGCCATAGAAGAGAAGAGCTACTGTAATTATATTTTATCTTAGTAATAAGGCATCAAGGTGTGATAGAACACATCCTTTTCCCCTGAATCCATCTGTGCAAGCAAGCTTCCTTCACAGCAGTCAGAGAGTTTTGTAAACGTTCACAGGCAGGGCCAGGTGAGATGAAGCTGAAGCAGCAAAGCACAAGCAAGGCAAGAGGATTGTAAAAGCAGAGTTGTACCTGTCGAGGTCGTCCACGGGAGTGCCGCTGCCCCCCAGGCCGCAGTAGCAGCCGTAGTGGTTGAATTCCAGCAGGGGGTGGCTTTGGGGCAGGGTGCACTTGATCAATTCACGGAACAGCCACACGGCCCGGGGCGAGACCTCCTCGGCGCTGGCTGCGCCCACTGCGGACAGACAGACAGACAGACAGACAGAGGGAGGTGAGAGTCAGGCTCGGGGTTACCTGCATCAGGACGAGGGCACCTACACACCCGACAGCAGGAAAAGCAGGGCCAGGAATTTCATCCTTGCAGCTCTTGACACAAACACTGGTGCCAAGGGAAATGAGTCTTTATACAGCAGGCTCACCTTGACGTGGTACGAGATAAACCAGCCAGTATTTACTTTACTAAATGCAGACTTCTTCCATCGGGGGCTGTGGGAAGCAGGTTGTGGCGTGACCAGTTGAAGGCCAATTGAGTTAAATCCATAAAAGCTGGAAAGGCAAATATTTGCTCTCTAAGATTTTGCTATTAAATTCTTGTAGTATGACTATTAGAAGTCAGCCTGAAAGATCTGGATATTTTTAAGGGCTCTCTACTAAAAAAATAGCAGTATGGCTGTTGGAGACATTTTTTCATAGAAATCTTTCTTTGAAACTTGTTCGTTTTCTGAGAAGCAAGGGCCCCAGAAAGAAAATGTAAACAATTGTTATCAGCTGCTGTAGAATGCAATAAGATGCACCTGTAATTAGTTCATGTTCCATGTCTACAATATTAGAGCCAATCACAGAGCAAGCTCTCTGGAACACAGAGACAGAGAGTTCTCTTGTTTTTAAATTCTTTCTTTCTATTCTTAGCTTAGCAACCTCTGCAACTTCTCTCTTTATTCTATTTAGTATAGTTATAATGTATTATATATCATATATCAATAAATCCAGCCTTCTGATCAAGAAACAAGATTCTCATCTTTCTCTCACCCCAGCGACCACCTCAGGTCGCTGTAATATATGGCAGTTTCATTGTGAGTTTCTTGGCACACTAATAACCATCTGACACTAATACTTGCATCCTCTTTTTATGGTATCCCCACATATCATTAATCCTGTATCTCTCCATGAGTTCTCCTGGCATAATTCAGAGAATAAGGTACAGGTTGTCCACTCATATCAAATGACCATTTGGCATGAACTCAACTGAAAGAAAAAAATCAAGCTATTCTTTACTTTAAAACCACAGAGCAGAGGGAGGTACTACTAGACAAGAAATAGGAGCCGAGTGACCTGGAAAACCTTTAGGTGGCTTAAACAAGGAGTAGTATCTGGTTTTATGTGGCCTTAAGCAATCTACATTGGAAATGAACCAGGCTTAGAAGTTTCAACATACACAGCAGACTTTGGTGACTTAAAGCAGTTTCTCCAACACCAATGCAAAACCCAGTTAAGAACCTTTGGTTTTCTATGCCATAGGACGAGGAGAGTTGGGAACCTCGAAAGAAGTAAAAAAAAATGGGTAAGAAAAATCTTCCTGGAATCAGTCAGGGGTAAGTAAAACAGTGCACTCATATTTAGACCCCAGAGGCTCTGGCATTTTCAGGGCTACAGGTTTGGCATTTTTGAACACTCAAGATACAGTTCCTAGACATGGTTGTCAAGTCTGCATTGATAAACAAAGCACCAAAGAAACAAAGGCCACCTTTCTGTAACAGCCCCATGCACCAGGGTGCTCATGCAGGAATCTTTGGGCTCACATCCCACCAGCAGGTTCCAAAGGGTTGATGAGGACACCTTCCTCCTCATAGGGTCTGAAACTACACCAGGGCACCCACAGTACCCACAGTAGTGCATGTTGACATATCCATAGGACATCTAGGGAAAGTTAGACATGGTGCTGAACAACCAGATTCATTCCAACTTCTTTGATCTCTGCAAGTGCTCCCATGCTGGGGCTCCCCACTCATGGGTACCTACAGCTGAACAGAGGCTGGGTTGATTTAAGATTCTCAGTGTTCTAATCCAGTATTGAACAAACATTAAAGGCTGATGTAAAGGACAATCTGTACCAGTTAGTTCAGAAAAAATAATTTTGTCTTTTGCCCACAGATCAATCTGGCAACTTTCCCTTCAATATCTATTCAAGAGTTCTCTGTCTTCACTGCCTTTAAAAAAAAAATTGTTTTCTTACCTATGAAAATTAGGAGTCTGGTTCCTTTTTCTCTGTTCTCAGTACATGATGTATTATTGTTTCCTATAAAGTTTCCAGTCAACTGGCCTTTTTAAAATCATAAGTCAACAATTTCCTACACTGTTAGTTCAACAAAAGGATCACCAAGTGTGGGAAAGCAAGCATGAGTATTACAAGTGCCTCATGAGAAAAATCCCAGCAGGGTAAAGATTTTTCCACCAATGCTATTTTTGGTTTCCCCCAACCTGTGCTGTATACAAAATCATTGGTCCCTTGGTACACTTGTGAGCACATTTCAACCTATAACTGGTTCAAATTTACAGGCTTAAGCCTTAAATTATTTTTAAGGCTTTTTTATAAGCCCTATTGCAGAGCTCCCTACTATTCCACAGTTAAAATTCTCCTTTCTCTCTTTTGTCTGTTAAGGACTTTACTTCCCATCTCCACATTATATTTCCTTGCATGTCTAGCTTCCTTGGTCCACCACAGTCAATTGAATCCAGGGTATGTGCTAAACCTGTAAGCAACACATCATCTCCTTTTCTGAACCTACAGATACTTACACAAAACCTCTGTAGTGTAAAGAGACACAATCTCTACTAAAACCAGATCTGCCTCACATTATAAACTGGCCACTGCCAAAGTGTGGGAGCAGAACAGCAAGTCAGAGACCTGCCTGGGGCTTTTATCCTCAAGGCAGGATGCAACTCCTGCCAGGTCCTGAAATCTCCCCCACAGGAAAACCTTGCACCCCCAAATAATGACAGAGAAGGACAGTTTTCAAATAATTTATTAGGAATTTAAAACTGAAATCTGGAAAAAGGGTTACAGGTGTGGAGAGAACAAACACTGGAGTGTAATAACTTACTGGCTTAAAAACACAGCTTTATTTCTTTTAAAAAAAATGCCCACCCTGAAACCAGAGCCCCAGCCTCCAGGCAGTGGCCAGAGAGTGACTCACAGCCCAGCAGCAGCACAGCTGGCCCGGGATGTCTGGAGGGGGCACGGAAGCAGCTCAGCGCATACACCAAGAGGGAGGAAAGCGCTGTCCGCAGACCCAAATTTGAAGTATATAGAATAAAAATAAACCCAATAAAATGCAGCTCTTCTTTAATTAGGAAATATTTAAAAAAACAGACATACAGACTCTTGTCTCAGTAACAAAAATTATTGCTTTGTGTTTTCAGTACTGATCTGTTAAGTACCTTCTTACCTAAACAGAACTCTCCAAACGCATCGCCCAGGTCAGGACAAGTTCCAGCAGACGGGGGAGAGATAGAAGAGAAAAAGGGCCCTGTGGGCACTGTGGCCCTCCCAGTCCTTTTCTAAATGCCCATCTCCTTTACAGGGGCTCAGTTTGGGGGAAGAGAGGGAATGATTTTTAAAAACTTAAGATGAAGCTTTTATTTCCCTGGGAAAAGAGTTTGGCTGCATCTTAATAAAAGGCTTAATCACCCCCCTTAACAAGGTCTTTGGTTCACTGAAATCCAGACCCAAACCTGCCCCATGTATTCCTGCTGGAGGTCTCCCCTGGCAGAGTGCTGGTTGGCAGAGGCCTGGACCATACCAGGGGAAGCCCCAGCAGGTTCTGGAGAAGGGACCAGATCACCCCGCACAGGACAACGGACAAATTCCCACAGTCTTCAGAACACAGAGTAAAGCAAACGGGAAGCTGCAATTCTATAATTCATATAATCCCTGAGAAGCCCTTAACCCGCCCCCAAATCACCACCCTAATGCTTTTCTCCCCTGTTAATGAATCCCCATCCCAGAGCCCTGCCCTTCAGAGAACAACTACCCAAATCTCCCCCTGGCTGACACCCCTTCGATACCCTCGCCTCCGGAGGAGGATCCCCTTTCCCAGGAAATCTTGACACAAGCGATAAAGTTTGGAGAGTGAATTCCTTTCAAAGTAACCAAGACAAGCAACGGCGGCAAAGCCCTTTCCCTAAGCCAGCCCAGAGCCGGTGCTACGGAGCCCAGGGATGGAGTCTGTACATCAAGCAATTGGAAGCAGCTTTAACCCGCTCAGCAAAACAGCCGATGGCTGGTACGTTTCACCCCGCCCGCCCCCCCGCCCCCCTTTCATCTCATCTCATCAGAGGTCTTAAAATCTTACAGTAAAAGGTGTACAAAAAAAGAACAAAGTCCTGTCAGGATTCTGCTGGAGAGTATTGCTCACGCTGCGGCACCAAGTCCAGGACCCGGAGCTGCTCCTTGGAGCCAGGCTGCAGGCAGCAGCCAGGTTCAGCTCACGATATTTACATATTATACAGGAGGAAAAAGAAAACCCCACGTAAAACTAAACCTAGGAAAAAAAATCTTTCAGCTGTAAGGATAGTGTTTTTCACTTAGCAAAATATACATTTGTTTTGTTCCATAGCGATGTCCAACGTTTTCGGATCCTTGGAGTTTCACACTTTTCAAAGCCTCACATTTACAAAACAGAAACAATTAAAAACAGTTTCTTTAAAAAAAATAGAAATACAGCAGTTCCTCTCAGCCTTTGCTCTCTCTCTCTGTCTCTTTCTTCCCTTCAGAACTGCATTCTTGTTACATACCGTGCTTTAAAAACACTGACGACAACAACAACAGAGTTGAAAATATTCAAAACAGTTTCAAAGCCAAATAAAAATACTCCTCAATGAAAACTACCTAACACAATCACAAAGCCAATTCATAAAATATGTCTACTAGCTCGGGAAAGAGCAAACAACAAAAAGAAGGGGCAGCCCCCAAAAAAGATAAAAAAATAAAATAAAAAAATAAAACTAACAGCTAATAAAATAAATAAAAGAAGAATCAGTGGGCTAGGGGCAGGGAGGGGAAGCGTAAACCGTCGGTGGTTAGTAGGAAAGCGAGATGATCTCCTCGGGTTCAGTCCAGTGTGGTCTGGTCAAAGGGAGAGATCGGGCAGGGCGGCAGGAGCCTGGCAGCCAGCCGGCAGTGTGCAGTTTGATTCAAGAGAAAGGAAACCTTGGCTCATCCCCCGAGGCTCACCAGATCCTCCAGCCACGCGCTGTCCTCGGTCAGGTCACTGGGGAATCTGCGGGAAACAGCAGGGGAGGGAAGGGACAGGGTCTAGAACACCCACAGCTCTCCTCCTGGGGCTTTCTTCTGGTGTGATCTGACAGAAACACCCAATACCCAAACTTTGCCCCAACCTAGTCTTACTCTGCACATCACTGGCACAGCGACAAGGCACAGCAGAGATGTTTCTGTCTTCAATGGCAATTGCAGGCCTGGGGAACAAGGTCTCACACACTACATGGTCTGGTCCCTGGGAGGGCTGGGACATAGCAGAGTCCAGCCATTTCCCCAGCACTCAGCTCAGTCCAGCCCTGCCAGGCTGCCATAGGCTCCTGTCTGTGGACACTGCTCCCTCCAGGTTTTGCCCCCCTTTTTGAAAAGCTGGTTGTTTACTTTTTAAAATTTTAAATTTTAAGCCAGCTAACTTCAGTCACATTTGCAAAGCAAACAAAAACTATTCACCAGTTCCCTCTCAGCCCTTCCAAGGACCAATACCAGAACTGATCAGATTGTCCTTCTGCCCTTTTCCCAGGCAGGAGATGAAAAAGTTCACTTCCCAGAGACTGGTCTCAGCAGCAGTGAGAACAACCAGCTGCATGGTGGAGGCTTCCCCAGCCCCACAGAAGAGCCAAGCTTGTCTCTCAGATCACCACTGGGTTGTGACTGTGGCCAACCCTGCAGATGTTTTCTCTTTTTGTGAGTGCTTCATTTTATTCTTCTTTGTGCCAGACCCTAAGACACTCTCCACTCCCAGCCTGGGGAGTGTTCAGTAGGAACCCAACCTGCCAAGCCTCCTGGTTCAGGAGGGAGCCCAGGCAGGCCACAGGACTCCTCCCACAGGCTGGGCCAGGCCATGGAGCTACACAGCAATATCCACAGCTTCAGCTGAGAGCCCAAGCACAGGGACCAGCTCAGAACCTCACTCCTCTCTCTCATTACCTGCTCCTGTTCAAAGCTGTCTTACCTCCTGCCTCCTTGGTCCCCAGCTTCAGTGATACCCATTGGTAAAAGCTGTTGCAATCAAGGGACCCTGTGAAGAAAGAGTTAAAACCCCACTCTTAAACAAAAGAACAGTGAAGAAGAATTGCTAACACAACAAATTCAGTCATGGCCCAGATGACAGAGTAAATGTTTTCATTTGAAGGTGCCAGGTCTAAAGATCACATCGCCTTGCAGAATGCTGTGTCAGGGCCAAGATGGGCTCTTGGAAAACCTGGGCTAGACCAGGGAAAGGACTGGAGATCAGGACCTTGAGTGGTGATCAGAGAGAGCCAACAGTAACCAAGCATGTGGGCTCTGCACTGCCCATCTTGGTCTGGGGCTCAGCAGTGGCACAGCCAATGCTGCAGTGGGTGGTATTTCATCACCAGAAAACAGACAGTGGGCTGAGGGAGCTGCCCGCTGCTGCTCACCTCCCTCACCATGTGGGGACACAGCCTACTCCCCGCGTCCCTCCCCGCACAGAGGGAACACTCACCCCTAGGCTGTGCCCAAAGCCGGTGCTCGGGGCTGGGCTGGCAGCGCTGATGTAACTGCTGACCCCTGAGTCCTGGTTGGCGGCCCCGTAAAGCTCTGCCATGGGCCCGGGACTGGTGGTGCCCAGAAAGCCTCCGGTGCGACTGGGGGTGGAACCTACAGCAGGCAGCAGAACTGCGGAGTGAAGATCCCAAAAATGCAACCCCGTCCCACCCCCCTCCCCAGCCCCTTGGCAAAGCTCCTGCAGGGCCCGTGCTGGGGAGGGAAGTGGAGTTACCTGTCCCTCGCACCACGGCTGCCGCAGCCGCCGCTGCCGCCATCGGTCCATACGCAGTGAGGGGGATTGCTGCAAAAGAAGGAACAGGCAGCTCAGGAGCACTGTGGCTACATGGGAAACTCCTCAAAGGGAGCCTGCATTTCCTATTGCAAAACACTGGGCTCACACGTATGCATTGGCTTAGTGCACCACAGAGGACATTAAAGGATGACAACAGGGAAGTGCATAGCCCTGAATTTATCAGTGTTGTTTTGCACAGCCAATGTCCAGGGGATTGCACGAGCCATGCTCTGTCAAGCCCACATCCCAGAGCAGCCAAAGGCACGGTGTGGAAGAGCTGAATGAGAAGTGGGCAATTTCAGATGTATCCTGTCACTGCTAAGCTTGCAAGATGCAGTTAATCTGAAGCTACAGATCCAGATTTTGGCAGTAAATGTGGAGAATGGCAACAGCTCAGGGACAGCAGCTGAGGCTTAACATCCTGAGGCTCAGCCCCTCCTCTGTCTCTTGTTAATATTCTTGAATAACAGTTTAACAGCCTCTTTCTCCCTATTTCTTTGCTCAACACATACCATTCTCCCCACACCGAGTTTTGCTCCTGATTGCTCAAAACCTCATTGTATATTGTAAAAAAGCAGGAAACATATACCTAGGGAGCAGGAACTAGAAATGGCTTAATTAAAACAGTAAGTCTTAATTTATATGTAGCAGTTCTAATTCCCAACTCTACTGCCAGAGGCATTCAGCCCTCGGGGCAGGAGGCATCTAGCCAGTATGTTTCTCTTTGCCCTTAAAATGACTGGGTCAGCATTTCATGCTTGAATGTGAAATTCACTGTGATTCTGTTTAGAGCACCATAAAAAGAGGTCAGAACAAATCAATCGCGTAAAGGCTGAAACCCAGACTAGCTTAGGAGGGAATATTTAGTAGCAGGCACCAGCGTGTTTCAAGCAAACGTCATAGGAGGCTTCTATCTGGGTTAGCCGCTCATTACAGGCCCTGGGCCAACGCAGGCATGTTGCTGCTCCACATCACCCCAAAGATGCTGTTCTGGGAAAGAAAGGCTGCTGGCAGCCACCCTCCTGCAAGTCCCTAACACATGAGTGAATGTGGTTTTACTGAGAAACGAGGCAAGATCATCTCAAAAGCTCCAGCCCTTTTTACAAGAAAAAATCCTTCTTGCCTTTGCAGTGTTATCTGCTGAGACACCAGGTTTGTGCTGGGTGACAAAGCACCTGTGCGTGCATCCCTGCCTGTGCCATCCCCTCCCCTTGGCTCCCCTCCCAGAGCCGTGGAGCGCAGCCCGTGTGTGCTGCAGCCACTCAAGGCACGAGGGCCCTCGAGCGCACGGCTCTGCCCTCCCCAGGGCCAACTGCAGCCTCTGCACGGCAACCACGGCCCAGCCAGGGCTGTGCAGTGCCTGCTTAACAGGAGGGAAGCGTCTCGGGGAGGGAAGGATGCCACGATCCCCAGCTGGTACTTCAGCGAGACACTCAGGACTGTCAGCTAACATGGCACCCAGCCAGGACAGCAGCGTTAATAACTTCTTGTGCAGAGCTCTGGTGCACCCCCAGCACCACTGACAGCCAGGCCCGGGGTGAGTCACCTCTGCTAGGAAAAGGTGCAGGACAGCTGGGGATGGACACGAACGGAGAAACTATTCTACCAAGTCACCAATGTTCCTCTACAAATGTGATGGGTTTTGCAGAAAAACACACATGTAAATAAACAACTGGACACACATCTGCTTTGCTTGCCAAGCAGAAGGCTCAAAGGTGCTTATGCAGCTGCATACATGGTGTCAGGGAAGGGTTTTGTTATGAGGGAATGGGATTTAGTTTTCCCCTACCTCCCTCAGGGAAATTTGTTCATTGGTGGCTGCCAACCTCAGCATCCTCACAAACAGAGAGTCCCTGAGGATTAACACAGTTTTGTGCCACAGAAACTCCCTTTCAAGCCTGTTTGTACTGCTAATTCCAGAAGAGCTTCCTTGGAAGGTTTTCCATACCCCTTTGCAAAGAGATTCAAACCCTGAAACAGGTGGGGGCAAGGAAGCACTGGGAAGGAGGAACACTATGGAAATGAAATGGCACATGGGGAGCAGGGTGCTACACAAAGCTGCTTTTCTATGACAGAAACCAGGGACAGGACAAAGGTGGGGAAAACATGGCCATGGAAGGGAGAGTAGACAGAAGGAACATCACGTAGGGAGAACACACTGCACACACCCCAGGGGCTGAGGATCCAGAGGGCATTTGCACTTTGAGGAAGGACACTGAGAACAATCCTCTGCTCCCATTTTGTTCCACAGCTCCCTACAAGTACTGCAGGACTTTGCAAGGTCCCACCACACTCACTCCTACCTGGGAAGCCTGTGTGGGAGTAGCTGGGGAACTGCACCACTCAGAGCAGGGAAAGCATTCCCTGAAGCCCCTCCTTCCCAGGGAAATGGGGTTAGAGTAACCAGGAGTGCATCCACATCCTCTCCCAGCACTCCAAATTTCATCCTTGCAACAGCTCAGGTTAAAGCCATTTGTAGACCTGTTGAAGTCACCCTGCTCTCTGCAGCTTCCATATCTGGTTTACATACAGCCTGGGGCAAGGAGTTAAAAATGAGGCAGGCAGCAGGAAAGGACCTGCATGGCCCTCTTCAGAGGCAATACACATGGCTCTGATTGCCTCTCCATCTTTCCATCCCCAGCTCTGAATGGAGCTTATCCAGATGAAAGAGGAAATAAGGCACATTTCCAGTCTAACTGCGCCAGGCTGTGGAGCAGCAACACCACTGAAACAGCACAAAGCCCCCTTCTCCCCTTGCAGCTTGTGAGTTTAGGAAATGAGTGGGACTGACCTGTGAGCTCAGGGAGGACGGGGGCACTCGGGAGAGGGGTCCGCTCTACACGGAACTCTAAAAACGAAATGCAAGACAGCTTAGGAACTCATCAAACGCCCCCAGGGAGACCCCCAGAGACACAGCAGCCAGGGTCTGCTGGGGGAGCAGTCTGCAGCCAGACTGCAACCAGGCCAGTGTCTTCTTTAAACTGATTTATAACTGGTGCTGAAAGGTGCTGGACTCCTGCCCTGAAGGCTGAAAGGATCCATTTATCTCGGAATAAATGTGGCCAGGGTAGGGCGAGTTCAAGCATCACTGTGTAGCCTCAGGTCTGCCCTGGAGCACCACTCTGTGACCTGGCCAATCTGACCTCTCAGCAGCAAGGCCAGTGGGTGCTCAGTATGTGCCACACTCAGCCTGGCACAGGTTTACAATGAGGGACTTGAAGCCACTACAGCTAGATTCATGGAGAGCTTCCAGACAGCCAGGAGGCAACAGCAACTTTCAGCCAGTTAGCCTGGGCTCACCTCAGACAAAGAGGAAACTTCCCATTCCCAGCCCTTAATATCAAAACTTCATATATCAACCATCACACTGAGGGATGGAGTAAGGAAGGGATGCTCAGAGTTGCCACAACTCTAGAAAATAGCAATAGCACAGTGTGTCCCTTAAGTGTGCTCTGCTTCATTCCCTGGCCTGGCAGAGAGCAGGAGGAGAGGCCCCACAGCTCTGAGGAGCTGGGACACAGCAGGTTCCAGCCACTGATTGCTGAATCCATGTTCTCAGCACATGGCAGTGTTAGAAACCACCCAGTTTGCAGGGGATCTGCAGCCCCCTGATGCTTTGTGAAGGCTGTGAGTGGTCCAGGCACTGTTCAGAACACAACTGCAGTGCTGCAGGCACCTGCCTTTTGCGTGCCCAGGAGATCCCTGGCACACAGGGTTTAACATTCTGTGCTACTTTCAGAGTGGTGGCAACCCTGGTAAAGAGAGACAGACACACACAAAGGCGGTGAGACAGGCAGAGCTGCGGGGCCCTTCTGTGTCACAGCAGCAGCAGCCCTGCAGAGGAGGCCAGCAGAAAGGACATGGGAGCAGCCTTGGGCTTTTCCTGCCACTGCAGCGTGAGGATAATCCTAATGAAGGACAAGCTGTTCCCACCTATTCCAGGGCTTCTCCAATCCCCCTTCCACATCCATCTCCAATTTAAAGAAAGACCAAACAGGGAAAAGAGTGAAAGGGGCAGAGCCTGGGTATAGATCATGCCGGGGGCTCCCATCACCTGAAGGCAGACCAAAGAACAGAGCAGGGAGCTCCACTCACCAGGGAACTGGTAAGTGTAACCAGGTGCAATGCCAGTGTAACTTCGACTCGCGTAGGTGGCAGCTTGGAAGCCTGGATAACCTGGGGAAGAGAACAGGACTCCGTTACTGCAAGCTGGCAAGGTCTGGCTGCTCACCAGCAGCAGGAGCATCCTCTGGCATCAGACAGAAGAGAGGGGTAGCAGCAGAAGCCCCAGGAGAGCGCTGGGCAGAGCGCACAACACGTGCGAGCCTGCAGAGTTTTAGCAGGCCCATTTAATTTTTCCTTGTTCCAAACATGTAAGGACATGGAGATTTCCTTCTCAGACTCACAGCTCTGCAGACTAAGGCTTTCTGATGCATCAGCTGGATTTATAAACAGGAGATCAGGCATTTGAATGACTGAGTCACTTTTGCACTAGAAGGGTTGGTGAATGCAGGTACAAAGAACATTTCTTCATGGTGCCGACAGGAGCACAAGCCCTGCTCTTCCCCAGGGAGCTGACCACCTATAGGAACAAGCCTGTGAGAGTGCAGGGCATTCACTCACAGATGAATGCTTAATTTGAGATCTCCCAAGACAAGAGTCCGTATATTTCCCAGTGACTCAGTTGGAGTCTTGCTGCTTTAAAATTCAGATGGCTTAGAAAAGGCAAAACCAAAAACCACAGGCTGGAGATTTATTTTCCTTCAATAAGTCAAGAGAAAACATTGGTGGAAAAATGCCCTTTTGGGGGTTTTGTTCAGTGACTAACTGCTACTCAGCAGGCTTAGCACTGAGAGCCAGGCTGAGTACACCCTGCCCAGCAACACCAGCAATGATCCTGAGCAAACAGTGCTCTTGGGTCAGCTCAGTCCTGGCTCCAATGAAAGTGAGAAGAGAGAGAAGCCAGGACCAGCACCCACACTGGTAGGATCACGCTGACTCTCAGATCCAGGCATTAGGTTTTGTGGTCCTACAAAAGATAGGGCTACAAATGACTTTTGTTTTTCATTTTTAAATTTTTATCTGAATGCTTTTGTCTTGGGAGCATTGGTAGACATGAAACCCAGCCTGCTTGTCACCAACTTCTCCTTACAGTTCCATGATAATGTATAACTTTCCCTGCAATACCAGGTATTTACTGTACCTGAGAGGGAGGGAACAGAGTGAGACAACACTAAACTAGAATTTAAAGGGCGTTTTAACAGTCTGTATATGGCAGTGGGGACATTTACACCGACCACTGCTTCAAGTGGAAGCGTAGCGGCTCTTTAGTCAACTAATTCATCAGAAAGCCTGTACGAGATGAAGAGGCCTGGGTACAGATTACTCCACACTCAGCTCTGCAGTTATATCCCGTTCCACATGAAGGAATTGCTGTCCACGTGCACTGCGGGACCGTGAAGGAGCTGCCGAGGGGCAGAGCCGCCCCGCAGGGGCTGAGCCCGCCCGGCTCGGGTGTCCCAGGACCGGCCCGGCCGTCGCAGTCGGTGGTGGCACTCCGGTCTGCAGTTTTTTCCCGGTGCCAGCAGAGGGCAAGTTGCGATCGCGAACGGGTCCCGGCGGCCCCGCACGGGGAGCGCTGCCCTTGGCCGCCCCGGCGCTCCCGGAATAAACCTCTAAGCTGCTGCCTGGCACGGCCGGGAGCGGGGGGAGCGCGGCGGAGCTGACCGGGGCTTACCCAGCATGCCGATCCCCAGCATGAAGGCATCCATCCCGTAAGGCATGACTCGGGACCGCCCTCGTGCAGAGCCCGTTGGGGACATCACCTCCTTCGGCTGAGCTTTTTTACACTCCACCTGCCACAGGAAAGTAAGGATCAGGCGGGCCTGTCACAGGCTGGATCACAGACTGTCACAGGACACAGCCACGGAGCACAGGCAGGTCAGGCAGGGCTGCCTGCGTGACAGCACGTCCCAGCCCCAGCCACCTCTGTCAGCCTGCCCTGTTGCCCTTCCCTGGCATTGCTGTCCCCAGCCCACATGGTGCCAGCCTTCCCTCTTGCTCTGCAGCCACCACAGGCAATGGGGAGCTCCAACACTGCTTTTCTCCCCCTGGTGTTACCCTTGATGTTCTACCTGACCCTGCACCAGAGCCTCAAAGCCTAATTTTCCTCATTTCTGAATAAAGTAAAACCTGCCCCCTCCCAGGCCACTACAAGGTTTAGTGTAACTTCAAAAACTCCAAGCGCAGTACAATTCCTTGTTTACCAAGCTCTCCTCCTTGAGAACTCACTATTATGCTTGTTCACCCCATACAGTGAGTTTCTTCCCCAGACTGACCGCTGTGATTGTTGGGAAAAGACTCAATCTGATTCCCCACTGCAGAGAAGATGCATCAGGACCCAAGTGCCTCACGCTCTGCCTCTCCCACACCTCAGTCCCTGCTCCCCCAGGTTGTGCCCCAGACACTCACCATTTTGTTGTTGATCTCATGGAAGTGGATTTCACATACTTTTTCCACAATGTCTTCACTTTCAAATGTGACAAACCCAAATCCTGAAGAAAAAGCAAAACTCCCTGATCAGGTCAGACCTCTCACAGTTTGAACTCCCTACTCACAGCCTTTTACTGGCAGGAGAAAAGGAGAGTACAATCAGCCCTTTCGAAAACAGCTGTCACTCATCTTCCCTCTCCAGCAAATTCTACTTTTATGCACAAGAACAGGACTGTCCTCTTATAGATTCTCCTCTCCTACTCATCCCGTACTTCCCACCCACTCTGAACCCAATTGGTCTCAAACCCAGGTTTGTTGTTCTTTGGGTTTTTTTAAACTTTGCTATTTGCAAGGCAAACCACATGGCTGGTAACACTGGGGAGGATCTGGGCAGATGCTCACACAAAGAATCAGTGGGGAAACCAACAGCTGCTTGCCAGGACATCACCATCCTCGCTAAACGCACCCCACCAGCAGGAACACCCTGCAGCTCCCTCGCAGGCACTGGCCATGAAGCCTCGTGTGAGCAGGCACAGATCGGCAGTGCAGCTGCACAGAGCGAAGCAGACACAGGCACAGTGATTTGCAAAGTTTCACCAAAGTAAGGTTTGTATCTGGGGTAAGACAGGACAGCTTGTTCCTGGCCCCTGGCCCACGCTCGCACCTCCTTTCTCTCACCAACCCCTTTGCTGACAGCTCTGGCAAAGCCCAGCTCGGGTGGGCAGACTGAACTCCTCTAAGCTGACTGCAACCGCTTCCGGAGAACTGAGGCAGGTGGGAGGATGTCTTAGAGCTCGCTGTGCAAGCAAGCTGGGATTAAGCAGAACTTTCCGCTTTCCAGAGCTGGCCAGTTCCAGAGCTGGTGTTGTAAAAATAACATTCAAAAGCAGATGGGAATCCACTGCCCAAACCTCACCTTTTCTCCACACTGCCAGAAACACCTCGCTATAAACTCCTCCATCTGTCTGTGCCCAGGTACATTCACACCACTCACCTCAACACCCATTAGCAGAGGAGCTCAGGAATTCAGCAGAAAAATGTCAAAAGCAGTCCTGAGCCCCATCAGTCCCCCACCAGGCCGGCTATGCCCTGGGCTGAGCCCCTGACTGTTGACACAGTGGCTAGCAGCTCTCCCTGCTGCCTCCCAAAATGGCCAACAGCTCTAATTGGCAGGCACCCATGGAGGAACAGGGGCTAATGCTTCTTCCCTTTCAAGATGAAGCTGGAACAATATCCTAGGACTGCCAAGGCCTGGCAGTCAGAGTAGATTTAATGGCTTTAGAAAAAAGTAAAAATCTGAAGGGCACAGAGAGTAGCAAGAGCAGAAGGGAGAGTTCCCTCGCTGCTCTGGGGGCAGGACTGCTTGGAAGTGCTTCAAACAACACACAGGAAGGCAGCCAGCACAGGGCTGTTACTGACCCTGACTGGGAAGAGGCTGAAGCTAAATTTGCAGGTCAAGTTGTTGCCATTAAATCTCCAAGCAAGTGTCAAGCCCTGCCACACCACCAGGTAGTCGGCCTGAGGACTGACCAGGAGGCAGGGACACCCATGGATGGGCTGGGTCTGTATAGCACAAATAGTACAGCCTTGCTCCATCCTGTAACCAGACTCCACCAGCAGGACTCGGGTAAGAAAAGGTGACCTGGGAGCACAAGTGGGCTCCAGGCCGAGGAAGGGGCGAGAAGCAGGCACTCTTCAGGCTCTCGTGTCAGCTTTCCCAGAGCTCAGATTACTCGGGACAAGGTAAGACACACATTGCAGGCTGGAGCCACGGAGGTGAGCATGCAGAGGAGGGGGCCGTCTCCTCTCACATATCTGCAACTCGACGAGTTTACAGCACAGGAAACACACTGGACAAAAGCTCTCTGTGCTGTGAGGGCCGCTGGTAAAAGATGCAGATGCAAAAGAATGGGGTGACTGGAGGCAAGATAGAGAGCAGCTGCGACCTGCATCCCCTGCTGCTGGATACTGACCCCTCCCTAGGCAAGGCAGGAGGCAAATCCTGTGCAGTAACCCCTGCTAGGGCCAGGAGACAGCTCTCACCTCGGTGTCGGTTGGTTGTCTTGTCAAACATCAGCATCGCATCATCCACCTGCAAAGAGAATGGCTGCAGTCAGATTATTACTGCTGCAACAAGCATCCTCCAACACAATTGTTCAGAGCTTCCCTGGCTTTCCCAAACCTGAGGGGATCAAGATGAGACATCCTGTCCCCGAGAAGGAAACAGGGTATGCACACATATGCAGTACACATAAGCTATCACACCAGGCACTTCCTCAAGCCTCAACCAGCGTGGTCCTGGTCCCCCCACCAGCCCAGGGCAGGTGCTGCTGGGCTGAGCCCTTTTGGCCCAGCCCCTGGCAGCAAGCGACCCCGATTGTTTGCCTGCAGCTCCAGCCGGGGGCCAAGGAGCAGGGAGGGCATTGTTCCCAAATCCCGGCCTCAAAGGAGAGGAGAATCAAAGGGGGGCAGAGAGGCAAAGCTGGAGAGGGGAGAGGAATAAGGGGCCTCCCAGCGGTGGGGGAAGCGGAGGCCTCAGACAACAGAGCCTGCCTGGGAAAGCTGGGAGGCGCCCCCACCCCCACTCCATGAGGAGCCTTTCCTCTAAGTGAGGTTTCCCACTGCTGGAGGCTGTAATTAGAGCAAATTTACTGCAAGGCCTGAGCAGGGCTGCCTTCCCGGGGGGAGGGGCGGCTGGATCCCATCCCCCAGCCGGCCTGGGGCTGCTCTCCTCCCCGGCACATCACCGCCTGGTGCCACTTTTCCCCCCATCTTCCCGCGGGTGTTGCCTTGTGGAGCAAAGCATCCACTCCGCAGGTCAGCCCGAGCAGGGTTAAAAAATACACTTCAATCCCCTCCGTGTAAGCTCCAGTGTAAACCTGTCCCACTGACCCATCCCTCCTCTAATACCACTGCCTTAATCCGATTATGAAACTGGACGTGCAAGTGCTCAGGGGAGGTGGCAGCAGTCTCCGGCCAGCAGCTGCCCTGGCCCTCCTCCTTCTCCGTGTGAGACAGCCCCTCCCTGAGCAGCGAGCCCTGCACGCCCCCCAACTCTACAGGATTTCCCCCTTGCCTTGCCCCAGGAAGAATCTGCATTGCTGGCTGCTCCTGAACAGTCACTGGACAGGGCAGAGCGCTGGCACAGGCAGCCACGGGCTTTGCCCTTGGAGACCCCACAACCCCAGTCAGGAAGGGAGAGGCTCCTATTCTCAGGCCCCCAGGACACCCAGCTCCACCTCAGGGCCAGGTGGATGGAAGGAGCCCTTACTGACAATTCCAGTACCATCATAAGCAGACAGGGATCATATTTGATGCCCTTGGCATTGTCTAACACATCCACTCCAGGTGACAACAGACAACCTGGCTCCTGCTCATCTCACACACTTACCATCCTGGCTCAGCCTCCTCGGCCAAGTAAACAAACACCTGAGAAACATGCCAAGCATCCAGCCTGGAGCCACGGGGGACATAAGCCTTGACACAGACCTGAAGCAGCTCCTCAGCAGCTTCCCAGGACACACAGTTAGGGAGATGGGCACTGAGAGCAGCTCCTCACGCTGTCATTCCCCATTGCTACTTGCTCCCACATCTGCACCATTTCCCTTCATGACATAGCACAACTGTTATGTGCTGGAGGGAAGCCAGACATGGCATTAAAAAAGTTCAACAGGTTTTATTGTCTGGTTTTCCTCATTTTAAAATCTAGATCCATTCCCCCATGCAGTTCACAAAAGGCTGGAGAAATAGCTGCTGTCCTCCACAGTAAACACTGGGAAAGCCGTGTCAAAGGCACTCTGAGGCAGTGCCACTCCTAGCTCAGGTAGCTGGAGACCACAAATCCATCACAATGAGAGATGGGCGTGAGGAAAAAAAAAAACAAACTAGTGTCAATGAGCACAGGCCCACTGCTGACTTACTCTGACCAGCCCTACTCTCTGCAGAGCCTGGGAAGCAGGAGCAACTGCAAGTGGCAGAGCTCATTGCACTTCCACACAAACTCCTGGCACAGCAATATCCCAGGCAATGGCTGGGCACTGCCACAGTGCTCAAGCACTCAGAGAAAGATATGCAACCACTTCATCCCAAACCATGCTGTATGCTGTGAGGAGAGCTGCAGCCTTCCTCCTTCTGCGCTTTTTCCAATGGCTCTGCTTTGAGGTGTACCCAGCACTCCAAAATGTACTTGCCTTGCAAAGACATATTTGTTGTAAGACATGTACTCTATTTGAAAGCTGTTTCCTGCTAAAAACTACATCTTATACAGTACATAAGTGTGTGTGTGTGTATATATTTATGTGTGTCTGTGTGCGTGCGTGTATGCACACAACTCCAAGGCTTCAACTCTGTATGGCTGTAACTGATATATTTTATTGCCATTAAAACCTACACATGACCATCTTTATGTCTCCTTTCAAGGCAGCCTGTGGGTTGAGTTGGGTGGTCTCAGCACACACCTGTGAGGTAAAGCAGGGCCCAGATCCCCCCTAACCCTGGCTACAGGGGATACATCCATCTGTCTCCTGCCACGGATAACTTGGGCAGACCCTCACTCTGAGGCACCACATCCAGCACCCACCAAAGCTCTGCCTGCACCGACTCTACCCCACCACGGGCCGTCAGTGGGCAGCTATTGTGGTGCTGAAGCACCGCAATCCCCCACCCCCGCTCTTCCCTCCGCGCTGGGCCTTTCCCGGCTGGGCCGCGCCGGGCCCCAACAAAGGCGGCCGCCGGCGGGGCCGTCGCGATGGCAACGCGGCCGCCATGGCAGCTGGGGCCCGGATTAGCGGCTCACAAAGCCGCCCCGCAGCGCTCCGGGCCCGCGGCCTGCCATGGCCTTCGGAGGGCACCCACCGGGGGCCTCCGGCACCCCAGCACAGGCGAACCGGCGTTCCCGAGGGATTCATGCCCTCGTTCCAGCCCCGCGGCTCTGGGCACCTTCCACAGGCTGCTGCAGCCCCTCCAACCTGGCCGTGAACCTGCCCCAGATGGGGCAGCACAGGTTCTGTGGGCAGCCTGGGCCGGGGCCTCGCCAGCCTCACAGGGAAAAACTTCATCCTAAGAACCAATCTAAACCTCCTCTCTCTCTCTCTTTCAGTTTGAAGCCATTCCCCCTTGTCCTGACACTACATGCTCTTGTAAATGATCGCCCCCAGGAACCTGGTGCCTTGAGCTAGAGGGATCAGACAGGATGACTTGGTGCTCCCTGCTTTCTAGGTCCTAAGTGTTCCTATGCCTTCCCTAAATAAGAAGGGGAAAAAAAGAGAAGTGATTTTTTTTTGCCTGCTTTCTGTCTGGGCTAAAATGTATTTTTCAAAAGCATCTATCCTAATTTAAAGTGGTGGCAAATTAAGACACGCTCAGGCTTGTGGCCTGAGGGTGACATACAAACCTTCATGCAAAAGCCATCCAGCAGCCTGGACTCCCCTGTCCTCAGAAGAAGAGCATGATCTCCCCCTAAAGCCAACATCCAAACTGAGTTTGCCACTGGATTCTCAACAATTGACTAAAAATCACCACTGGGAACCTGGCACCTTGAGCTTAAGGAATCTGCTGTCTTCTCTCTAGATCCTAAGTGTTCCTGTGCCTTCTCTGGACAAACAGGAGAAATGAGGAGCAATTTTTGTCCTGCCAGGTGCTAAAAAAATTGTGAGGGCACTTGGAAGAAGAGTGAACAGAGTTCACTCAGAGAAAGCCCTTTCCTCAGAGGGTAAGTCCCCTAAAGAAATATTTTAAAAGGGCATCCTCAACAGTTCCTTTTCACACAGTCCCAATGCAATTCCAGAAGTAGTACTAGACACAAATAACAGGAAAAAGTCTCCTGAAAAAAACATTTTCTGAGATGAAGATACTACAACTGAAGCTTCAGCATCTCTCATTTAAAGGTGCCATAATTACAAATAATCCATCCAGCATTGGCCAAAATATTTGGGGGTTTTCAGAGGTTTAATTCCACTCTAATATCTTTCAATTTTCCTGTTTTATTTTTAGTTATCTGCTATGGGGAAGCCAATGACATCCTCATGCAGATTTAATAAAATAATAATTTCCCATACCAGTTTGATGGGAAATATGGATGCACTTTCCCAAAGGTAGATTTTAAAAGTTGGTAGTTTTGAAAGCAAAGGGTTTGTGGAGATGGATATCTTCCACCTGAACTGTAAATAAAAATGTCTGAGCTGGTCCTAGAAGGAATCACAGCAACATATTTGTAGTAAAGTTAGGCAGAAAAATAGTAACTGTTGAGACAGCTTCCATATGGAAAATAGAAACCAAACTATCGAGAAACCACTCAGCCATCCTGTCAAGAGACAGACAGCATTAACAGCCCTGTGAGGTTCTCCCAGCTGCACAAACAGGACAGGCCAATTCCAGGAGGAGGATGCATGGACAGAGAGGCTGGCTCCAGGGAGCAGGTGTGCTGTGCCTTTCAGACCCTTCTTACCCTGCTCTGCAGAACTCTGGGAATGAGACTTGGCCAAGGGGACAGAGCCTGCTCCATGCCACAGAGAGCAGAACAGCCTGTCCAGGTGTCCTTGCCCGCTCTCACAGGCACCTGGCAAATATCAGGTGAACCCCAGAAGACCTGAATGACCATTACTGCTGGAGTGGTTTTGGCTGTGTGCCTACCAGATGAGGAGCACAGAGAACCCTTTGTTCCAGAGGTATTGTCACCACAGGCCAAACAGCCTACTGCCACAAGAGAGGTGATCAGATTCCCCTTCTCCTCCCCTCCCCATCTGTTCATGGCAACCATGTTATGCGTGAGAATTTACATAAATTGCCCTCTGATCTGTGGAAGAAAATCCAAAATCCAGTTTGGAAATCCACAGCAGGCTGACAAGTAGCTTTGATCCCTGAAATTTCCAGAGAGCGGCAGATTAAGGATTAATTAATTAACATTCTCCCAGTCTAAAGTGAGAAAAATCATGGCCACTGTAAGTACAGAAACAAGTCTTCCTTAAAGGCATTTGCCATCAGTATCTGAAGGTTTTCCCATTAGTCAGCAGGGAAAACTCATTTCACACACCTCAGTCAACCACCCCATTCTTGTGGCAGGAGTACATGAACAGGCATTTGTGACAGTCCTACAGACCCTCACCTGATCCAGCACCTCAGATACTGTTGCCATGAGGGAAAATCACAGTAACAGCCATCACCCCCAGTGAGACCTCAGGACCTCTCAGGTCCAGAATTTGGATGGAGTATTAGATGGCAGCCTAAAGGTCAGAATCCTCTCAGACCCCAGATCTTTTTTCTCGTTTGCTTCCAGGGTATTTTTAGAGAGGAGATCTCTCTCTTTCTCTGGGCAGGAGAGAGGCTGAGCTTTCATGGCCGACTCATCCACACACAATTACCTCAGGCCCAGTGAGAGATGCAGACTGGTTTTAAGCACTTTCCAAGCACCCTTGGTGCTGCAACTGATTAGTGAGTCATGCAAAGACGTCACTGGGAATGTATTTCCTGCACTGCTGCTTCACCAAATGTAAAAGCACACAACAAAACCATGAGTTCAAAAACCTGATTCAGGTGCAGGCCCCCATTTCTTCCAGGACCTCTGCACTTCCAGTTTCTGTTAAGATCAGCTTCTCTCCTGATGACAAACAAAAGACCAGCTGCATCAAGTTAGAGCAGAGCTCTGCCTTGCCCAAAACCTCCCAAGATACCAACCAATAGACAACTTTGGAAGAACATAAAGATAAGGTAAGGATATTACCACAGAGCCCAGAACACTACATCCCCATCCAAGCTATTTATGATTTGGAGATTTCCTGAATTCAAAGAGGTGTCTGGGTCTGTTAAAAGACCTTCCATGAATTTGCCCAATCATTTTGGAGCCTATGTAAATTTTAGTAACAACATCCTGCGGCAAAGATTTCACAGTTTAGATATGCTCCACGATAAAATGACTTTATTTGTTCTAAGCCTCCTCTTATCTTGCAATTTATATGACCTTCTCTACCACAAAACTTCATCAGACCAACTCTTGCATTAGAAACATGATCTGAGTTTTTTCAGTTTTGATTTGAAACAAATAACCTTGCTTACAAGATCAGAGACCAAACAGTCCAAAGAAATTACTCTGATGGACAACTCCTTTTCCTCCCCAAAAATAATACAGAACAACATGTTCCCACAGGTTGAAGTAGCAAAGGAGGAAGCTGCAACTTGAGCTCCTCTGGCATTCTCATACATGTTGAACTAGACAGAAGACTAGCTGTGCCTGAGGTGGTAGCTGCAAGATACCTTCCTCCTCTCTCTCTTGCAGGTTTCAGTGAGGGTGGTAGCCTCACTCTAGAGAAGCTGTTGAAATAATTCCTTTTGCTGTCTAAAGATCTTCAACACCATCCAACTTAAGCCAAAGTACTTGGCTACACATACTGTGAATGAAAGTCTTTCCAAGACTTCTGTCCTACAGTTGAAAAAATAATCTCCTTTAGAAAGCATGTGCATGGCCTGAGCTTGGAGCTCAGAGAGATTCAAGTTTTGGAACCAGAGAGGTGTTTCCTAGAGATCCAGCTTTGCTCAAAGCCTCACAGCTGCACCTGACAAACCACAGCCAGATTGAGATCACTTTTCAGCCTTTCTCTCTGTATTAAAAAAAGAAAAAAACCAAAACCTTTGTATTTTCTTTCTCAGGAAAACAGCAGCCCATGTATTTTAGTCAGAGTTTTGGAAGGGAAAAAACCCCAAAGTGATTCCTCTTTGAAGCAGACACACTGTATTTGGGACCCTCTTTGAAGCTTCACCTTTTGTGCCTGTTAAAACCAAGAATTTTGATATGAAGAACTGGGGTGCCAGTCTCTCTCTTGTTTTATCACTAAGTAATACTCACGGATTTCCTTTTCACACATTTTCACCTTTTTTTTGCCACTTCCATTTTACAAAGGTGAGAGAAGGTTTTGGACACAGCAAGGAAAGAAAACAAAACAAAACAAAGAGAATAAGCAGAAATGCCAAAATGGAAAAATCACATCTGGGACTTTTGTCTAATGAAATAGAAAACCATTTCCTTTGCAGACCAACTAAAGTTCATTTCTTTTCCCTGCTAATGGACGTAGGAGGTGTGCTGGTTCTGACCTGAGATGCACTGACACCAACCACCTTGGTAGGCTTGTGAGCTGCAGTTCACGGATTTGAACTGGAGAGAACATTATGATAATCTAATTTGACCTCATCTGTTCTGCAGGCCATAGCACTTCCTCTTGTAATTCCTTCAGCATGTACATGCTTTCTGTCTGGGCTAAAATGTATTTTTCAAAAGCATCTATTCTAATTTAAAGACCTTAAATGGTGGCAAATCTGAGACACACTCAGGCTTGTGGCCTGAGGGTGACATACAAACTTTCATGCAAAAGCCATCCAGCAGCCTGGACTCCCCTGTCCTCAGAAGCAGAGCATGATCTCCCCCTAAAGCCAACATCCAAACTGAGCTTGCCACTGGATTCTCAACAATTGACTAAAAATCACCCCTGGGACCCTGGCACCTTGAGCAATCAAGACAGGATGACCTGGTGCTCTCAGCTGGCTCCTCTCTAGATCCTAAGTGTTCCCATGCCTTCCCTGGACAGGCAGGAGGAAAGGAGAGCAATTTTTGTCCTGCCGTGTCCTAGGTAACTGTGGGGCCACTTCCAAGAGAAGGGAACAGTTACAAAGCTCTTTACTAACAAGGTAAGTCCTCTAAAGAAATGCTTTCAAAGAGCATCCTTAACAGTTCCTTTCCACACAGTCCCAGTGCAATTCCAGAAGCAGTACTGGACCCAAATGACTTGGAAAGTCTCAATGAAAAAACATGTTCTGAGATGAGGATACCATGACTGGAGCTTCAGCACCTCCCACTTAAAGATGCCATAAATCAAAGAGATGAAGACCACTCATGGTGTCTGGGACACCCATAAAGATGGGATTCTAGGAGACCTCTGAAATCACAAAGCACATCATAAAGAGCCACCAAAAGAGACTGTGCATCAAAATCATGTTTTCCACGAGTAACAGCTGAAACTGAAGGCAACAGGCTTAACCCTACAAACCAGAGGTGAAGGCCACAAGGCTTTCCTCTGAAATGCACTTTCCCATTGATCCTGTCCATCCAAGCTCTCTACTGTAGAGAATCTCTCAGGAAACAATTCTCCTGGCCATGGGTGAATTATTTGAGGCTTAGTCTGGAAGATGGTTACAGGCCAGGAACGATGCTTTACACAAGAGCTCTGAAGAGTCTCTCATCTGAAGTGCACAGATGAGTCAGAAAATTGCCCTGAAAACAGCAAGTCAATCTGACCAACCCTAACATTTCCCCATGGAACTTCCCCAGAGCCAAGGGGACAACTGCTCCAGCCCCACACAGACTTGAAGCTCTGGATGTTGCCCAGGACACTGGTTCTTCAGAAATGAATTGCTGTGCAGAACTCTCCCTCCTGCCCACTCCAGAAAACAGTCTCACACAACCACTCCTTGCCTGACATCAGAACACCTCTCAGCACACAACCATTAAACAAGAGAAACATAACAGCACCCCAAAAGAGCTGGAGAGGACTGCTCAGACTAGAGCAACTGTAACTGCCTGTAGACTGAGTGCCCTGTGACATGCTGCTTTGAATTAGCAGGGATACAGTCAAGGTTAAAAGGGGATTATGCCAAAGACAATTTGTTTTCCTATCAAACACATCCATCAACACAGGAGAACCTGCAAGTCAAACAGCCTTGAGACTGCACAGACACATGAACACCACCGCCTTTAGTGGTGGCACCCTTCAGGGTACCATGTAACAGCTCTTGGGGACACAACAGAGTTTGCCTATCTCTTATAGAAAATGAAACCACACAGAGCTACCAACTGGCAAACACAAGGATATCCAACCACTTTCTCTTAGAAGTGAACAGAGTCCCACTTTGCACACATGTAAATTTGGCTTCAGAAGCTGAACAAAGGTTCTGAGCAGATCCTTGTCTCAAACTTTCTGCCCAAAAGTTTCAGCAATATGGCAAATCTGGTCACAAAACTCCCTTTCACTAATTTGTGTGCCTTAACATGACATCACCCTTTTGCAGGAAATTTCAAAAGAAAATACCAAGCCTTCATCTCCACACTGCAGCTTCCATGGTACTTCCCTCTATGACCATGATTCCACCAGAAACGTTCTGGCTGGGTCACCACCCACCAAACCATGTTCTTCCCTCCTGACTGGGCAGGAAAGGTTCCAAGAGCTGCAGAATCCAACATTTCCTGCCCCAAAGAGCAAACCTATGCATAACTCCACTGAACAACAGTGAAACAGTGACAATGTCCTGCCCACAGAGGTGACCACACTCCTTGGGTACGATGATCCCCTTCAGTTCCTAATCCCATTAAAAATCTTGGGATCCTTCAATCTAATCCTGCTGATAGCACTCCTGGAGATGCTGACAACCTCCTCAGCTGAAAGGACACAACTGAGCTCCCTTCAATGCTCAGATTTGGTCCAGTCTCACAATTCACACACCTGGCTGTCATGGACCATGGCACAAGTGACTTCCAGCCACAGTAGCCCACCCTTCCCTGAGCCACCACCATCCACAGAAGAGCCAAACCAACACAAGGGACAGCCTTAGTGCCAAACTTTCTTCAATATACAAAACTTACACCACCACTTGCCCAAGACTCAGCAGAAGTTTCAGGACCTAAAGACTTATTTTTAACAAAGGATTATTGAAAAATAAATCACAAGGTTTTGAGTTAGAAACAGGCCAAAATCAGAGGTTTGATAAAGCAGCCACTCTGTTAGGAGTGTCTACAGCATTTGAACAAACTGCAAATCTGTGAGCCAAAAGAGGCTTCTGGATAGGGAAAAATTTCCCATAGCTGAGGTCCTAGCAACTCTGGGAACAAGGATAAACTCTGTTTCAAATCACCACAGGGCAGGAGTCACTGGCTGTAGCCCCTACAAGGACATTACAGCCAGCCAGCATCTGTAACTGACCTTTAATCTACTTAACCCTTGCAAAAGACTCAAGCTTCTAATCCCGCCCCCACAAAAGTTCAGAAAACTCCTTTTCCCCCAGAAGCAACAGCTTTGATCCAAAATCACTCAAGAGACTTACCTTCCCAAACTGCTCGAAATATTGTTTCACATCCTCCACAGTAGTGTTCACAGACAGACCACCCACAAATATCTTCTTCGTTCGGGTCACCATCTGGAAAAGGGAAGGACAGGAATTCACCAAATAAACCCAGAGCGAGCAGAGAACGAGACTCAAAACTCCCCTCTGCTGCTGGGAAGTGCTTTTCCCTTTGCTGAAGGGCTTCCAACTCTTGAAGCCCTCTGGCCAAACACAGCTGGCAGATCTGTCCCACACCAAATTCTTGCTCTTGTCTTCACAGAGCCCACCACACGTGCCAGCACCCAGCCACCACCTCCTCGTCAGACAATTACCATCCTCTTCCCTCACCAACCTGCCACCACTCCCTTGGCACTGTGATACCACCCCAAATGTGTGGGGCACAGCTGTCCCCTCCCCAGCCCTGCCACTTTGCACAGGCAGCCTCCTCCAGGCAGCCCCAGAGGTGCCTGCTCTGCTCCCAGGGTGGCAGGAAGCCATCACAGGCAGGTTCCCCAGGCTTTGCCCTCCCACCCCACAAATTGCACAGCCTTCCAGTCTGAAATGGAACAAGCCTCAGTTCACTCCCATTCTCCAGGCACCTCAGTGGAGCCCAGTCAACACCCAGTTAAATCTCTTTTGCCTCTGCAAGAAGGTAAAGCCAAGATCCCTGTGCCACTTGTCACTGATACAGCTGGGACAAGGAAGAAAACTAACTACCCTGAGAGGGGCCATGGCTGCCAGGCTGAGGCACACCGACATCCTTTGAACCAGCTCTCCAGCTGCATCCTCCCCTTAGCTGCTTGGCTACACCCCTGCTCTCAGAGGAACACATGGTCCTAATTACCCCAAGGAGCACAGGGCTAATCCGCAGCAATTCCCTGCCTTGGAGAGCAGCCCGTTCTAACACTAAAGCACCTTCTGTCACCAAACTGCTTAATGGAATTAACCCAATTCCTACCATGTGCTTCCTGGCTCCAGTTACTTGGGATACCTGCTCACCAATTGTTCTCAGTGCCTGAACCCCTTACTTCCCTCCCAGCACCAGTCTCCTCTTTCCTCTCTGCTTCTCAAGACAGCTTCTCCCCAGCTCTTTCACCCCTAACAGCACTTGGAATACAGACTCTAAACTTTAAAACTCACATCCAAGAGCCAAGTTAAAGGAAACCCAAAGTCTAAAGGCAGTCTCCAGCATGCTGCTGGCTCCTTAGCTAAAAGTTTCTAGCTGCACACCTAGACAAAGTTCCTGCCACTGTGCATTTTAATGCCAGAGCCTCTTGTAGGTAAGATCCAACACCAAACTCCTTTTGCCTTTTCCAGTGCCGAAGAACACAAGGGCATTTCACAAAGTGAAATCCTTCTCCCCTTCTCTGCCACACACCTATTCATCACACACAGGTGCACACACACAACACTCTGCCACCTGTGTTACATCACAGCATGGAGCTGTTCCATATCTCCAAGGGCCTGGAACTGCAGCCTCAGAAGGACTAAGGTCACCCTGGGCAGCATTTAATCCACCAGCTCTATCTAGTGCATCCTGAAGTACAACCAAGGGTTCTCCTGGTTCCTTCAGTGCCACGCAAACTCCCAGCACTGTGCTCCAGGTGACTCCTGAGCAAACCCCAGCGAGCAGCTCCATTGCATGCATTGCCACCTTGCACAGAAGGACAAGGTTCACCACCACAAATTGTGCCCCTTGTGGCACAAGGGCTGCCCACAGTGCTTACCTTGGGCTGTGCTCGGCGAGGGAACGCTACCTTCGGGTCAATCTGAAAGAGATGTGGAGAAGAACAGGTGAACACATTTTTCCTGCCTGGGTGCAGCTGTCTCTGCCCATGTGGCACCTTGCTAAAAACACAAAGAATCTACCTGAGGTTCATAAAATGAAGCTGGCTGCAGACATCTTTCCCTCTTGATGAGGTGTAACCCAGGGAGACTACAAGTCCCAGCATGCAGCGGTCCATCTCCAGCTGAGCACTGGGCAGATGCACTGAGAGCCCATCACATGCTGGGATTAACAGGCTGGGCTGCACCCTCCCGCTTGGCCAGCCCCTGGGTGCCTTGCATCACCAGCCTCATATTAAAAGTGATTTCTTTTGCCTTTTTTGCTCTCACCCTTCACTCTTCCTACAACTACAGAGTTCATCTGGGTAGTAACAAGACAGAAAAGAAGCAGTGCCTAAACCCCCAAACATTTCATCCCTTCAAACACAGACTGAAGGGCAGACAAAAAGAAGCAATAAAAGAGCAGACAGGATGGCACAAATTAACCCGAGGAGCCCAGGCCAGGCGGCTGCGGAGGCTGCGGCCGCAGGGATCGCGCTGCCCCTCTCCCCAGGCCGCGCTGCACACAAAGCCGTGATGCCTCCCTCCCTCTCTCCCTCCCTCCCTCGCCGGGCTGAGCCTCCATTGTGCCTGTTCAGCTTCCCTATAAACCTGCTGCTGGCCGGAGCAGCCGGGCCCGCGCCGCCATCCAGGTGCCGCGTGTTCTGCCGGGCTCAGCACGGATGAGCGCCTGCCCACATCGGCCTCACACCACCAGCAGCACCACCACAAAGCTGGGACAACACCAATGCAGCTGCAAACCAAACACCCACAAAGCCTTCTCTCCTCCTCAGCCACCACTTCTTTCTTTATAGCCTATTTTTACAGTAACTCCTGTAAAGTTACATCACATCGGGGATGATCCAGACCTACAAATCAGCTTACAAAGACCTGTGGTAAAGGCAGGTTTGGCTCATCCCCACACTTGGACAGGCTGCAGCTGGGAGGGCAGCCTGGAGCATTGTCCCATCAGCCCAGCAGCTCCAACAGCCCAAAAGGAAGCTGTGTTTCTCCAGCTCCTCTCACTGCTTTGTTCAGCTTTCCAGCCTGGCTGCCCTCCCGTCCCGCATCCTTTTACTTGTCTCACAGCCCCGGAGCTTGGCCCCCCTGTGCCCTTCCACCGGCTCCTCTCACTGCCTTCCCCACCTCCATCCTGACTCACAGCTTACAACATAAATAAACTCAGCACGTAGGTAAACACAGGCAAAACTGAACAGCACAAATAAATTCAAAAATAAACCTCTCTCCCCAAGCTCCAAGCGCCGGCAGATTAGCATACCCTCCGGTGCCTCCCTGGGGCATCAGAACCATCCAGGCCCTCCCCTCCCCACTGCTTCCTGGCTAGTGCAGACACCCACAGCGAATTCTTAGGACAGGGGACGGCAGGAGACCAGGAGGTTGATGGCAGATAATAAGCAAAAACAATAATCTACTGTCTTTTACTTCTCAGCCAGTGTCATTCAGCTCCTGCCAATAAGATGCTTTCATACTCAGCAATGCTAAGCTCAGCCTCATTTTCTCATTACCCTGAGTGTGATCAACTGGGCAGAGATAACGTGTCCTCCTGGCTGGAGAGAGCAGGCAGTCATTTCACAAATTCTTCTGCACAACCAGCTATTGTTGCAGGTAGAGGGAGGCTGGGGTGACTGATTGCAGGCGCAGCCCTGGGAACACGCAGAGGGAAGCGAGTTCGGTGCCGGACTCAAGTTACTCAAACTGGACTGCTCCTTGGCTGCTGGAGTCTTTCCTAATTAAAGCAAAGGCACCGGTACCTTATTCCCTCATTTCTGGTGTTAAAACAAATAGCCCTGGAGGAGTTGTGTTTCAGTGTCACCCACTGACGTAATGGATCCTTTTTACAAACCCAGATAGAAATCTGCTAAGAGCATTCAGAACTGCTCAGATTGTATCCAAAAAACAAAACCCCAGATCAGGCTGCAGTGAATGGAAGTCACCTGAGCTCAAACTGCTTCCAGTTCACCCCACAAGACTTTGGTAATGAGGAATCCCACTGAAGTTGCAGGTGTACCAACAGGCCAGCCAGGTCCTTAGTAATGCTCTTCAGGCCACCTAGAGCCCCATTTCATAGCTCGGATCTCGTAAGTGCTGTGTTCGCCTAGCTGGTACCAGTGTCCCAAAGCACAGGGAAGGCTGGGAAGGACCTGCCAGATATCAGGTCCGGGTTTGTTCTTTCATTGTACCTCTGTCACTACCTCTGCCCTGCTGGTCTGCACTGCAGGGGAGCTGCAGATCACTCCCTCCACCACAAAAGACAAACCCAGCAAAAACTCAACAACGGCAACAAAGAAACGACGGGATGACCCAGCACTGCCAAGTGCTCTTCCCAGAGCACGTAAAGAAGCAGCTCAAGGCAGCGGCCAGCTGCAGCTTTACAAAGTCACGCAAATCTTTTACCTTGAGATTGTAAAGGCAATTCTCATATCAAATATTTTCAAAAATAACCCTGTAGTCTGCTATCTAGCTTACAAACAAAGAGGAGTCTGAAGAGAACAAGGCTGCCCCGAAGAATTGGGCCAACTGCCTTCATTAGGGTAGGAAGAATCAGAAGACAATGAAGCAACAAGTTGAGCAGACACTGTCTATCAAATGTTGTTTGCCAAGAGACACCAAGCCCCATGAGAAGGCTGTCCTTACAGGACACCAGACTTTTTCCTGCAAAGTTTCATAAAACTCTAAATTAAGGTTTAGATGAGTTTGTGTCATTTAACCAGGACTCACAGCAAAGCCTTTCACTTCAGCAGGGAAAAGGCATATGGAGGTTTCATGTGCTCCCATAAGATCAACCTCTCATGAGGCAAAACACCCCAAAACATCTGACCCAGCTGAAAAGTGCACCAAACAAAAAATAGGAACGAAGGGGGAAGAGGACCAAAGTTCCTAACAAAGAAGGCCCTGGTGAAACTGTCCCCATTCTCTGTGCGTGCCGGGGCGAGCGGAGCAGATGCAGCAGGGAATTTCAATGGCCACGAGGCCCTTCTGTTCTCCTGCAGCGCCCACCGTCCCTCCCTGCCTGCCTGGGCTGCACCCGGGGCCGCACAGCCCGCCAGCGGCAGCCTGGGGAGGAGAATGGATGGCGTGGGTTTCAGCTCGCTCCCAGCCCTGAAACACTTCCAGGATTAGTGCTACAACCAACATCCATCACTTGCCTTTGCAAGAGGGGTCTATGCCAGCCCACAGACTCATGACAGGACTAGCTGATCAGAGACTGTGTTTACACAGGCTAATGAGAAAAAAAAAAAAAAAAGAGAAAAGGAAAACCCTGGGCCCTCCTCAAAAAAACATTACTGTAAACCCACCCCCCAGAGCAAAATTCACATCACTCCTGGAAGGAGGAGGGCTGGGAGTCCTGGGGACCAAGCCTCAGCCAGGAAGGCTGGGGTGGGTTTAACCAGGAGCTCCCGTGGGGAGGAAGGACCTGTGCACATCAAAGGGAGCGATCCAGGCAGTTAAACAGGAACAGACATAAATCTTGCTGCAACTCACACCGTAAACCCTAAGAAAGAGGGTCTCGCTCTCCCGCCCTCTCCTTCTGCCAAGATAAAGACTAGGACGCCTGGGCCACGCAGTGCAAGAAATAAAACTCTGCAGTTGGACTCCTCAGCAGCCCTTGCCTGGAGCCAGAACATGCCCCCTCACCATGTCATCCCCTTGCAGACCCCGCCACTCCCCTATCCCTACCCTCACCTTCACCCCAGGGCAGCAATAAGGAAAAGGAATTCAGGGGAAGGCCAGTCACTGAAACTAAAGAGAAGGGACCTCCCACTCAGACATCTCACCCCCACCCCTCAAAACAGTCTGCACATCTCCTGAGCACCACAGATTCATAAGGCAGGGCCCACCACCTTGCGCCACTAGTCCAGTGAGCCACCAAATCTTTCTGCTGACCCACCTGGGGGTCCTCATCACCCAGACTTGCAGAGTGAGGGCTGGAGCCACAGCCACTCCAAGAAGCTGGTGGTAGCCCACACGGGCAGACACTGGCCACACTTAGAGACAATAAAGTCCTGAACCTCCATGACTACTACAAAAACTTCACCTGGAGAAACCACAAGAGAGTCTCTGGGGTGCACAGAATGAGGGCTCTGCTGGGAAGGGGGAATGCACAGGCCACCATGGCCAGGGAAGCAGGGCCTGGGCACTGGGGAACAGCACCCCTGAGGAGGGATCAGTGCTCAGCAGCACACAGGATGAAAGGGCGGCTTCCCTCTCTCGGAATGCAGCCACGTCTTATTTCCCGGGCAAATCCTCATCCCAAACGTGTTCAGGTGTCCCAGCTTCAAGAGAGCTACAGTCACTGCCGGGATGGGCCTCGAGATGGGCCTTACAACCAACGAGCGAGAAGAAAACCATCACCAGGATCCACAGACCCACACCAGGAATCGGCAGACGGTGAGCCCTGTGCTCGGGCGGCAGCTAGGCTACCCGCCGGCAAGTGGGACAGAGAAGGGAACGATCGATCCGTATCAGGAATCAATAGTTTACAACCTCTAACTGGAAATCAAACACTACAATCGACTGCTGCTCCGAGCACAGCCGTTCCGCCGGTAAATGCACCCCTGAGATGAGAGAAGTCATCTCACCGTCTTGGAGTCCAGTTCATGTCTGGATTGGGCCAGGACCTTGTCGACGCCAGCCTGGTCCATGAACGTGACGAACCCGAAGCCCCTGAGCCCCGCAGCCCGGGCAGAAGAGGGGATGCGGAGAGAAGAGAGAAAGTTGGTTAAAGTGGCGGTCGGGCCGCGGCGGGGGCGAAGGGAGGCGCGGGCCCGGCCTCTCACCTGGATCTCTTTGTCAGCGGGTCCCGCATCACCAGGCACTCCTTCACCTCGCCGAACTGGCTGAAGTACTCCCGCAAGCCCTCTGCAAGTACAGCACCCACCGTGGGTGTCCCGTCCCGTCCCGGCCTCGCCGCACCCCCCCCGGGCTCAGCCCCAGCTCCGCCACCCCCGGCCCCGGCGGCAGGTGCGGGGCCCCGCGACGCTCACCTTGCGTGGTCTGCCAGCTCAGTCCCCCGATGAACATTTTGCTGCGGGAGGAAGGGGAGAGCCGTGAGCGGGGCCGCGCCGGGGGGCCGCGGCACCCCGCGGGGGTGGCGGCAGCGGCAGCGGGGCCGCGCGGGGAGGGGAGGGCGCGGATCGGCCATGTTGGCAGCGGCACCGCCGCCGCCGCTGCCTCCGCCGCCGCCGCGCCTGCCCGGGCCGGGCGGCCGGGGCCGGGGGAGGGGGCGGCCGCGGCCGGACCGGGGGGGGGGGCGGTGGGGGTGGCCGGTGGCGGCCGCTGCGGAGGTACCAGGGGTCGTGCGGGGAGTCCGGGGAGGCGAGGCCGGGCTGGCTGCCGTCTGTCTCCATTCGGACCTCTTCTCCCTGCGAGGAGCGGCGCCGCACTCCCGGGGCAGATGAGCGCTGGAAAAGGGGCCGGACGGACAGGCCATGCTGCCCCCTCCCCCGACCCCTCTCCGCCGGGCGGGGAGGGAGCGAGGGAGGAGGGCCCGGCGGGCACAACCTGCCCGGCTCCTCCCACCCCCGCCGGCCCGCCGGCCGCCCTGCGCATAAAACCCGCCGGCGGCACCGGGGCCGAGTGCCGGGAGCCGCGCCCGCACCGCGCTGGGGGAGAGCGCCCGTCTCCGGGCTCGGCGGCGGCAGGAGCAGCCCCGGAGCTCGCAGCCGCTTTGTCCCCGGCCGCGCTGCCCGCACCTGCCCCGGGGCGGTGGACAAAGGGCGACGGAGCCAGGCCCGACCCGGTGCGCTCGGGCTCGCTGCGGCGGACCCCGGAGACCCCGGCCCTGCTCCTCCCGGTGTTTCGCCGCTGCCGAGGGCGCTTCCAGGTCGGGACCAGGACTGCCCTGCTCACCCCGGGATCCCGACCGGGCAGCGGGGAGTCGAGGCGCCTTCTCGGAGCCCTGGTACCTCCGTGTCCCCTGGCAGCCCGCGGGGACCCGGCAGGGGTCAGGGGCTTCCCAGCCTCGCCGCTCGCTGCCCCGCACGGCAGTGCCCAGGCTGCAGGACCCGGGGCAGAGCTGCTGCCGGGCACCGCGGAGCCCCGTAGAGCCCCGCAGCACCAGGTATGCACAGCCCGGCCGCTCTTCTCTGCCCGCGGCTCACTGGGAAGGGGGTAGGCTGGTCCCCAAGGCACCGCGCACTTTCTTACTCATTCAGGCTGACAGACTCGTGCCGAGCTCCATTCGAGTTCCACTGCCACACAAGTTCATTCACATGCTGCTTCTCGAGCAGGTCTGTGCACTCTGCCTCTGCTCTTGGGCAACCTTGCCTGGGTGGCTGGAGCAGCTCAGCAAGGAACAAATGAAATACCTGTGAAGTTGGAGTCAAGAAGAGAGCCGAAACTTTGCCTGACTGTACCAAGCATCTCTGGGAGAAGGCACTTGTTTGCATCTGTGGCAAATCAGAACAGAGCAGTGCTCAAAACCTCTGGTCACAGTGCTGTGACCCCTTCTCGTGCCAAGAGGGTATCACTGGATTCCAGGCATATGCTACTGTGATGCCAAATACTTCCCACAGGCATCCCTGGCTCTGCTCCTTCCAGCATGGGTCCCCCCTGTACCCTCTCACTGCCTAGAGCAAGGTACTGACAGCTCAGGTCAGTGCCATCCTCGTTTGACCATTCTTCCCCTTCTCTCATGACTGTTTTCCACGTCCCAGTACACATCCTCTCCTTCCCCGAGAGGAACCACTACACCTTTGTTATAGCAATACTTTGCAACAGTATCTTTTGTTACACGGGCCGCAACTCTGAGTTAAATTCCTCCTCTGCCCATTAGCTCTGCCAAACCACCATTCACCCACCCCATGTCCTGAGCTGGTTCAGGATCCTGTCCTGTGTCCTGGCCCTGTGCTTGGGCACAGCAACGCACCCAGCACCAGAGCCTAGGTAGCTGCCCCCGGGAACTGAGCTATGCAGCATCCCAGCTCCTGCTGCCACCGGTCCAGGCTGAGCTGCTTCTCCAGAATAACCCACTCTTCATTCCACAGGGCTGAAGTCATCACTTTGGGTGGAGGTGCCCTGGGAGGCAGCAGGGCTGGTGCAGCAGGGAAATATAAATAATGACATGCAGAGGTGGTACTGCAGCAGTGCAGAGCCAGTGGAAGCAGCGGTGCTGGGGCAGCACCCCAGCCATCTCCCCCTGCACCTCCTGAGAAACCTGGACAAAGCTGGGCTACCAGAGCCACCTGCCACACTGCCCAAACTCAGGGGTGTTTTGCTCCTTCCCAGCACCTGCTCTCTCCCATTTGGAGGGCAAATACTTTAAAGGGGGAGCTAACTAAAAATTTCAAGTCACCTGGCACCGGTTTTATGTTTCATTATTGCCCAACCTAGGCACACTACTAATGCTAATTAAAAACAAGAGAAAAAAAAAAAGAAACAAGAGCTCAGTGTTGGACTCACTAAAGGATAACATCTCTTGGTCTTGGTTTGCTACCAGTGCATTACTATAATTTTAAATGTGTTATTTTTAAAGCAGTACAAGTTGAACACTCTGAGGGACACTGTTAAAATGCTTCATTTTTTTTTTAATGTTTATTATTTTATTTACTTTTTCTCCACCAAAATAATATTGGAGAGGGGAGAACAGGATCAACGTGAGTTAACATCTGTGAAGACCAGAGAGAAAAAAATGAGCCTTCAGGAAGATTTGGGTGGAGGATGTGGTTGGACTTGCATCACTGGCAATGACACAGTAACCTACCATGTAACTTATTCCAAGGTTGTTTCCAAAACATACACATGATATTTTGTATTTCCACCTTAGGACCCCCAAGTGCTTTGTAAGTATCAATTCATTTATCTCTGTAATGCACAGGACAGTGGGTCTTGAAAAATCTGCTGATTAGTGACAGTAGGAAGCTTTGCTCACAGAGAAGTAAACATATAAAACATTCCAGACCTTATGATTGGAAAGATGATCTGCCGAATATAAAATAATGCAGCATTGTGTTCCTGGGGCTGCAGACAGACAGCTGTAGTGCCTCTGTGGCTGCTGCTGAGAGGTTGCCAAACACCAGCGAGATTAACAAAACTGCTCAGTTTTCTTGCTGCTATTCAGTGTCTCATGTGTGGTAGAGTGACACTATCAAAATCATGTCCACTTCCTGCTGAGGAGGATGATTGGCAAAGCTCTGCCCAGCACCAGTGGCAGACACTGGAGTTATTCATGGTGAGAGGGAGGTTCCAAAAACTGGAGGTTAGGGGAGGGTCAGGGAGAGCAGCCGCCTCTTTTCCTCCCTCATCATATAAGGAGAGAGAGGAGAGATTGTTTTGGAGACCTGTCTCTTGCTGGGAGATTTTGGCAGTCAGGAACCACAAAAAGTTTTGCTTTTCGTTTCATTTGGACAGTTAATAAACAAATTTGAACTGGAATTGAAATGTTTTTTGTAACACTCGCATTACAGTGCTGAAGATGCAAACCTGGAAGGTGTTAACTGTGGCACCATGGGCAGCCTGGGGGCATTGCCTGGCTCTGGCAGTGCCTTCTGGTGGTTCTCATGCCTGCTTTAGGAAGGATGCTGACCCTCTGGAAGGGCTGATGGCAAAACCCTGCCAGTCCATGCATGAGGCAGCCAGAGGTGTCTACCTGGAGGGGAACTCACTGCTCCAGCAGCTACCTGCCTGGCAGGAGCTGGCTTGGGGCAAGAGTCAGGCACACAGGCAGAGAGAAGCTATTTAGGGAAATTAAATTATTTAGATTCCACTCAGGTGGGGGGAGGGACAGAGTCAGCAATAGGAAGAGGCAAATGACTGCAAATGCACCAAGGACTTCTTTAATTCATATAAGAAACCTCAGGGAGCAAGATTCATGGAGGTTTACATGGTGCAGAGCACTGAAGAACAGGATGGGTGGGAATACAGAAGAGGAACAGGGTGGCATGCAAGAGAAACATAGGTGTTAATAAAGAGCAGGAGAAAGGGGATAGCACGAGTAAATAGAGACAACTGGGATAACTGGAAAAGGAGTGAGGAAGGAAGGAGGAGACCACCCCAATTACCACAAAGCAGCAAGAGGAATTGGAGCCTCACCAGGGGGAAAAAAGGAAAGAAGTCTGCAGGAGATGAAAAATAAACCATCAAGAGAACTTGCAGAGTAGTAAATTCAGTGTAGGGATTCAGCATAAAACAGCAAACCCAGAGAGAGGTCTCTGAAGGACAGTAGGAGATTGCAGGCTTCCACCCGCTGTCCTGGAAATGATGGCTAAGGGAAAAATCAGAGAGCCCTGCCTGCTATTCTCCCTCTCTACAAACTCTAAAAACTACTACGTGGCGTCTAGTCTCCATGATCCTATCTAAATCAGTCCAGCAAAGAGGGAGGAAGCCCTGGCTGCTGAGCTGTAACACAGGAGCTGTTCCATGCATGGAGTGTGCCCAGCAGCCAGATCCCACCTCCTGCAGCAGCCTGCAAAGGACCCCCCTCCCCAAGGAGCAGGTGGAAACATTTTCATTTCACATTAATTTATTTTTTTAGATACTCCAAAGACTGCTATAAAGTGACAGAAAGCAACAACAGATTTGAAAAATGAGACCTCTCTCCTTGAAAGTGCCCTGAGCTCCACATTCCCTCTAAGCTTTTAGAGTTTGTCCCAGCCTTCCATCAGGCACTGCTTTCTGCTCTGTCCTTTCTCCTACCTAACCCCTTCCCAGTCTTCACTTCCTATGGAAAGGGGCCTATCTTAGAGCATCCACTGTCAGGAAGCTCTTCCCCAGCTGAGAAGCAGAGCATTGCTTCCCATTCTTCCCCTCCTCACCTGGAAGCTCAGAGCTTCCCATGGTGGGATACACAGGGACTCATTTCCCCACCCTTAGAAAAGAGAGATGAGGATGGATGCAAGCAAAATCCACCAGATGTGATGGACTCTTTTAAAGAAGATTGATTAAATTGTTTCTAATGCTCAGTGAAGGTAAGGCAATGGGTTTAGTTGACACAGAAAGAGATAAATGTTACATATCAGGAGAAACTAGCAACTATTAGGATGGCTAAAGATGGGAGAGGGGAGCCAGGAAGGCCAGGGAATTCCCATTCATAAAATTTTGAAGAATAAATTAAACAAATGTCAGTTTGGTGATTATATCCTGTTTTGTTCTTGCACATTACATGCATAGATGGTGCCTAGAGAAGAGGAATAACAGAGAAATTTAAGGACTTTGGTCCATGGGTTCATACCAGGGCAAGTGACAGTGCAGCATGGGGCCAGGCTGACCAAATACCACCAGACTGAGAAGACATTTGGGAAAGAGCTGGGTGAAGAGGGGTAACAGAAAAAGTTCTGAGTCAGGTTTGAGAGATGCCAGACACCTTATACAAAAGGGATTTCCATATTAACATTTCAAAGTTAAAGTTAAAGTTCTGTTAAAGTTCTGAATTTAAAATAAAATCCTGTATCCCAGTGGAAGAGGGGCAGGGTGAGCCCCAAAGACGCCAGCACAGCCAGCACACATTTGCAGGGACACGTTTGTCTCCTTGCA